TGTAAAAATTGAAGGAGCTTTGGGATTATGCATTGTCAAAATATTGTCTGACTTTCTTCCTCACTCACCCACTCATTCTTAGTACATTACATACCATGATTGCTAACGTCTGGTGGCATCATTTTAAGCCAGATTCTTTCCTCGAGCATTCACATATATGTACTTTCCAGATGTAATTAATGAATTGTGATACAGACCTGAAATTTTAGCTGGTCTTCTCCTTGTACAGAGGTGAATCACACTGCATGCCTTGCCACCCCAAAGGACATTAGATTAGCAGAAACTAATACTGTCTACATACTTTAGTTCTGCAATGGGTCGTTTGTTTAAAATCTCATCTAATAGGTCAACCATAGTCTCACGTTAAATGCATTTTGATACAAAACCCTTTTATTGAACTCTGGAAAATCTTTGGACTTTCAGAAAATCTTTGTTTTTAAACAAGTATTTATTCTGACTTCTCATTCAAGAATCATTCATAAAAGATTTATACAGTTGTGTGGATACTGTGCAATTTACCTGATACTGTCAAAAATTGATTGTGAATTTTTAAACAGAAAGCTATGTTCAGTGTAAACTGAGTTTCTGCAATTTTTGCAGTAGACATTAAAATCATGCACTGACAGCATGCTGAGCCTCCTAACCTATTTCACGAGATGAACTTAACTAGTGTTGTCACTGATAGCATCTGATTTTGAGCCTTTAAAGGAACCTCTAAGCAGCTTTTTCTGCATGCAGAGCACTAAACTTGTAAAAAACTTATTCAACTGTGTTTCTTAACTTATTGAAAAAAGTACTTTTGTGCTTCAATATAACTAGTAACTTTTTCTGCATAGAATTCTGGAAATAACTTTTGGTTACTTAAAAGTTGATTTCTCAGTGGTGCTAGACTACACACTGATTAAAATGCGTACTTTTTATAGTTAATCCCATTTTCAGTGGTATGCATTAAACGACACCAAGTTACCACTCTTAACCATATCAATAAAGATATTTTAAAATTTAACAAAAAATGCTAAGAAAAATAAAGCAGAATAAGCAGGGCGGTTAGGCCAGAACAGACCTTACAGAGACGTCAAATTCAGTTGGAATGTAAGTTGGACTTGACAGTTGCCATGTGCAGTAGAATGTCTCTGGGTAAGCATTGGATCTGCATAGTATAGTTGGTGACACTGGAGGATCTAGTTTTGAGAAAAAAAAGAGAATATTCAAAATGAATACAACTTTTAATTGACACAATTCATTAAAATCTACTTCTTCAAAAGTTCGAAATATTCATCCGTTTACCAAGACTCTTTCAAAATAAGGTTCAAGCTTACATAACATAACAGGCATACATTTTGGAAGAATCAAGGGGGGGGATCTTGAAGAAACATACAAAATTATGAAGGGAATTGATAAAATAGAAGCAGGGAGGTTGTTTCCAATAGCAGGTGAAATTAGAACTGGGGGGCATAGCCTTAAAATAAGGGGGAGCAGATTTAGGACTGAGTTGAGGAGGAACTTCTTCAGCCAAAGGGTTGTGAATCAGTGGAATTCCCTGCCCAGTGAAGCAGTTGAGGCTTCCTCGCTGAATGTTTTTAAGGCATAGACAGATATTTTGAACAGTAAAGGAATTAAGGGTTTATAGCGAGCGAGTGGGTAAGTGGAGCTGAGTCCGCAAAAAGATCAGTCATGATCTTACTGAATGGCGGAGCGGGTTCAATAAGCCAGATGGCCTACTCCTGCTCCTATTTCTTATGTTTTTATAGCAAAAAGCAGGATATGAGACTAAGCACAACAGTTATTTCAAAGAGACAGCAAGGAGACAATAGACTGCATGGTTCTTTGCTGCAATTCCAGCCCCAACAGTTCAGTGGGGTGACCAACACTGTATGGACTGCAGTGGTTCAGACAGGCAGTTCCCCATCACTTTGCAACATCAAGTAGGGATGGGCAATAGATGCTAACCTAGCATGAGATGCCCACTCCTCAAATCTAAAGAAAAAAAACTCTACAATTATTCTTAACCTCAAAATGGATTCAAAACAAGCCAAATTTGAAAGAGAAATAAGTTAAATTTTGTTACTTTCTGCCTCATTATGCTGAGGCACCAGCTACCACATTCCAGGATAAACTCCCAAAATGGGAGGTTGGAGGGCTCAGCTCTTTCAAATTAGAGTTCACTTGTAATGTTCAAAGAAGGCGTTTAGCACGCTTGCCTTCATTGCTCAGACATTTGAGTGTAGGAGTTAGGATGTCATATTCAGTTTGTAGACGATATCGGTGAGGCGTCTTCTGGAGTACTGTATGCAGTTCTGGTTGCCCTGTTATAGGAAGGATATTATTCAACTGGAGAGAGTTCAGAAAAGATTTACCAGGATGTTGCCAGGAATGGAGAGTTTGAGTTATTAAAATAGGCTGGATAGACTAGGACTTTTTTCACTGGAACATAGAAGGTTGAGGGGTGACCTTAGTGAGGTTTATAAAATCATGAGGGGCATACATAAGGTGAAATGACAAGGCTCTTTTCCGAGGGCTGGAGGAGTTCAAACTAGGGGGCATATTTTTAAAGTGACAGAAGAAAGATTTAAAAAGGTCATGAGGGGCAACTTTTTTTTAAACGGACAGTGATTCGTGTGTGGAATGGAAGTGGTGGATGCAGGTACAGTTAGAACATTTAGAAGACACGGGGTCTGTTTCCATGTTGTATGACTCTATGACTAAGTAGATAGGACACTGACAGCAATTTTAAAATATAAAAAAAGCAGAGCGTACATACTGTGGCACTTGTACCAGATGTTGAGCCACCCAATCAACATTGTAATTTCATTTTAAATCCTTATGAATCAGATCAAATGGCAGAGCAGGCTCAAGAGGCTGAATTGCCCACTCCTGCTCCTAGTTCTCATTTTTAATACACCTATGGCAACTTATCATTTTATAATAAAACCCTCTCACCAAAGGTGGCAGGAAGGAATACTATCAGCAGCTTGAAGTTATTGATGAGGCACTATGTATCTGCTCCGGATCTTAGCAGTAGAACTCATGGCTAAGAGCAAAGAGTAATATAGTTTGATCTCTGATTAGAATCTGAGCTCTGCCAAGTATAGACATACCAATCAGCTGTTATAGTGTCTACCTAATGTCAATGGGAAAAGAAAAATCATTTTTCAATGTGCTTAGAGCTATGAAGGAAATGGTAATAGTTTGATAATGAGCAAAGTCAGACCCTTCTTCTGAAGGGTCACTGGACCCTGAACGTTAGCTCTGCTTTCTGTCCATTGATGCCACCAGACCTGCTGAGTTTTTCCAGTAAATTCTGATTTTGTTTCTGATTTCCAGAATCTGCACTTCTTTGTTTTTTTTTATTTTATGGTTTATAATCTCTTTTTTGAAAATCAGTCATAAGTTGTGGGCATCGCTGGCTTGGCCAGCATTTATCGCCTGTCTCTAGTTTCCCTTGAGAAGGTAGTGCTGAGCTGCATTCTTGAACCACTGCAGTTAATTTCCTAAATGTAGTTCCACAGTGCTATTAGGGAGGATTCTGACCCAGCGACAGTGAATGAATGGTCATATATTTTTAAGTCAAGATGGTGAATGGTTTGGGGGCAGATTTTCAGGTAGTGGTGTTCCCAAGTAACTGCTGCCCTTGTCCTTCTAGATGGAAATGGTTGGGGTTTGGAAGGCACTATTTAAGGACTTTTGGTGAATTTCTACAGTGCATGTTGTAGATGGTACACACTGCTGCTACTGAGCGTTGGTGATGGAGGGGCTTATTGTATATGGATGTGGTGGCAGTCAAGTGTGCTACTTTGCTCTGGATGGTGTCAAGTTTCTTGAGTGTTGTTGGAACTGTAGTCAACCAGGATGACATGAGGAGTATTCAATCACACTCCTGAACTGTACCTTGCAGATGGTGAACAGGCTCTGGCGAGTCATGAAGTGAGTTACTGTCTGCAGTATTCCTAGCATCTGACCTGCTCGTGTAGCTACTCTGTTTAAACGGCGAGTTTCTGGTCAATGGTAACCCCCAAGATGTTGATCATGGAGGATTCTGTTACAATAGCACCACTGAATGTCAAGGGGCAGTGATTAGATTATCACTTGTTGAGCATGGTCATTATTTGGCATTTGTATGGTACGAATGTTACATGCCACATGTGGAAAAAAAAAATTTGTTCTTCAACTGAACTTTTTTCTACAGTGTTTAGTGCCACCTAAATAGCCTGAAAACTATTTAGCAGACTGTCATTCAAAAGAAGATATTTTATGTAAATTTATAACCTCGGAGGGGAGGAAGAGGTTCTGCAGTTTTGAGATTTTAGTGGTCAAAAATCACATGAAAGCTACTGTTTTCAAATAAAGCTTTTAGACTAAAACATGGTGTCATGTGATTGCTGACCTTGTCCAAACCCAGTCCAACACTGGCACCTCCCCAACAGAGATTTTAGTGGAAGACTGAGTCACAGCTTGAAACAATGTGATCAATCTGGATTGCAAAACAGGATCTTAAAAGAAAATTAGTCATTACAGTATTTACTTCTCTTTCCTCTCCTCCAAAGCTCTGGAGAAATGAGGGGAAAGTTCAAAGTCATGCTGATTATTTTAGAATTGATAACAGAGATAAGATACTTATTGTCACTTAATAGTGTTCAGGCATGTGGCCCCTGCATGCATTGTGCAATAATATTAACATAAAACAATTTTATTGAATAAGTGATGGTTTATTTTAACACGCTACTGTTCTTTGTTAAAAACACCTTTATTCATGCAAAACAAGTACCAAAATTGTGAAAGCCTGACTAGAGTAGGCATTTTTAGCATGGATTTCAGATGACAGCCTGCAATTAAGCAAAAAAATACCTTGAAGATTATTTCCCCAAGACTTAACAGTGCATATCCAAGAACAATTACGTGAATGACCTGACATACCATTGCATACAGAGCACGTTCATTAAACTCACTGCCCCTCAGGGGGTTAAATCCTTTATAGAGCTTAATCCTTTGAATCCCACCAATGATAATGAATGCGTGAATAAGGTACCATATTCTGCAATTGAAAGTATTCTCAGCAACTATGCAGTTCCCTGCAAACCTGATCTCACTTAGAGCTCAGCAGTACATTTATCATTAACTAACATCATTGTACCAAGCAATGTTTTGCACAAGATTTTCAACAATCCAAGTAATGATACACAGCTCTTACTGTCCTGCACACTAGTTCTGCAATACATTCTAAATTCCCAACATTTACATTTAATTTGCTGTCAACTACGGTGAGAACTTTGAAGCAAAGCTTATTTTTTTGCAAACACTTTGGCTTATAATCATTGCAACACTAAAAATTGTTCAGAAGCGAATACATGAGGAGAACCACTCTTCTGTTAAATCTGCTGGAAGGAGGTTGGTGACAGGAGATAATGGCACTGGATCAGTAATCCAGCACATCAGGCTAAAGCTCTGGGGACATGGGTTCAAATTCTATTGTGGCAGATGAAGAATTTTAAATTCAGTAAAATCCTGACTTAAAAGCTAGCCTAATGGTGACTGTCTAAGTACTGTCAATTGTAATATAAAGCCATCTGGTTCACTAATACCTTTGAGGGAAGGAACCTGCCGTCATTATCTGGGGTCTGGCATACATGTGACTCCACTGACCCTTAACTGCCTGCTGAAATGGTGTCGCAAGCCACTGAATTCAAAGGCAATCAGGGATAGGCAAGAAATCCTGGTCTTGCCATCAATGCTCATATCCAATGCGAGAAATGTTTTAAAAGGTGTACAAAATAGTGAGTGGCCTTGAGAGAGTAGAAGTGAAGATCTGTATCCCCTAGCAGAGGTGAATTGCCAGAGTGCACACATTAAGACGCTTGGTAGAAGGATTGGTAGAAGGGACTTGAGGGGGGTGGGGAGGGGGGAGGAGGAAGGTTATCCAGAGGGTTGTGGGTTCTGGAATCTGCTGCCTTGTTTGGTAGTTGAGGCAGAAACCCTTAATGCATGCAGAAAGAACCTGGATCTGCACCTAAAAACTGCTGTAACCCATGAGGCTAAGAGCCGGTGCTGGAAAGTAGCATCTGAATGGGTGGCAGCTTTATTCAGTCGGCAGACACACTGGCCTCTTCCTGTACTGTAACTTTTCCATTGTTCTAAAATCTTTTTAACTCATCTTTAGAGCTTCCCACGTTTACCATGTTGTTCT